TCCTTATGTTCGTATACTGCATAATCAAAAAAAATCTAATCAAATCGCCGTATACTTTTTTCCTCCACCAGCAACGTCCACCACAACTTGATCGCTTTTGTGCGCTCGACCATTTTCACTCATATTCAGGACTCTGTTTCACCCACTTAAGCGCAGTTTGTACAAAACCCGAAATATACGTTTTGTTGTTACTCATGACTAGTTTCCAAATTCACATTTTTAATTTCAATGCGGCAATCCCAGGAGCAACAAGCCCTCGACAAAAAATTGCAAATAAAAATTGAGATCGGAATTCTGCGAAAACTATTAATCCGACCGAGTACTGCTAAAGTGAATATAAATAGCCACCCGTGTGCAAAATGTGAGCTCTTAATATTAAAAAAATGGACAAGTGGATTTAAATAAAGTTTTTTTCCGGCATCCGGTATTTTCCGAGTTTTCTCCGGTCCATGTATACCATTAAGCTTGCTGAAATCGTTCGACAAGCGAGACACTAAAAAAAAACGCGATTTTTGGTTTACAAATGAATATAAAAAACTAACAAATGACATTTTGTTGTCCAAAACATACTGGGAATAAGTAAGGACTGATGGTGATGATGGTTACAAGTATGGCGTAGGTTGTTTTATAATAGTATTTATGTCAGAAAACCTATTATTTTCATCTCTATTGCTTGGCCTAGATAATTATGACCATAATTGATCCTAATTTTGGGAGCGGAGAAATGGTAGATAACGAAGTAGTAAAAAGAATAGTTTTAATAAAAAATGCTGCAATCCCAAAAATTATAAAAGCAGGTACTTACCTATCAAGAAATACACATTGCTTTCCTCAAATGGGTTTTCAGAAAACCAAATTGCTCTGGTTTCTTCATATTCTTTGAACATTCCGTATTTGGGGTCTAAAATTCCTCTGAGAAGAAGCATGAAAAATTCCTTCGTTACCCCGCCGGCGTCTTCAGCTTCTTCCCCACAAAATTTGATCTTAAAACATTTAAAACAGATAATTGTAAAGTATCAACCGTTCTATGTGTATTAGATCTGATATTCATTCTCAAGTAATGTAAACTAATGCTTTAGTTTAATATGTAGTTGCATAAAGTATTATTATATGTATTAATAAACAATTTTGATAAAGCGCTTGAGAAAGAAATAATCCTTCTCTTAAACATGTGTCTTGAGAGGGTAAGATTCCTGATGATTGGAGAAATGCAGAAGTGATCCTTCTATACAAAAAGGGGACTGTGCAGACATTAATAACTAAAGACCTATCAGCCTGCTATCCGTGTTTTACAAGCTGTTCACAAAAATTATAATGAACCATCTGAGTAATAAACTAGGTTTCAGTACAATTCAGTACAACAGATCATATCCAAACTGTTCATACTCTTCGTCATCAGGAGATGTAAAGAGTATAACGTTCCACTCCATCTGGCATTCATCGATTACCGTAAAGCGGTTGACACCGTGAAAAGGTGGTTAGTATTGCGGGCAATGAACGAGGCTAGAATTGATTGAGGATAAGCAGACATCCTCGAATACAGGGTGATTCAAAATTGGCGTCATTCCTTTTAAGGGGTTATAGGGGCTCACTTGGAGAGTACGAGAAAAATATTGAAAATTTTTTTTCGCAAATTTGTAGAAGATATTAAGAGTTGAAAATCGAATTTTAACTTTGTTATTAAGCATTATTTTGAAGTTGTTCCATGTTTAATTGGTAGCATATTGGAATACTTAACCGCTCGAAAAGAAAAATTACTATCTTTGCTTCAAATTACGAAAATTTTCGATATTA